TCAGTGAGACTTGGCAAACGAAGCAGGGCACCTTGGGCAGGGAGTCTCACTGTGGAGGGTGGGTTCAACAAAGTTAGAGACCGAAAAAGATTTTAATTTCTCTAGCTGGCTCTGGTAGGAGACGAGGAAAATAAAGACAAATGGCGAGGACTGGCAAGGGAAGAAGACCACTCAACGTCACTTTCTTGAAGACGAGTTACACTCGCAGATTTATACCGTCATCTCTATTGATATAATGCAGACTGGTATTTAGGACTTAATCCCATAGAAGAAGCTCAGGTCCCAGTGATAAATCACTATTTTGCAGAGCAATAAAATAATCGTGGCACAATGTAAGCACTACAAGCATATCCTAATACCTCCCTTACAACAAAGGCGGAAAGTATTCAAAAAGCTTGCCGTTAGATGTAAAATTGCATGTATTAGAACACAAGTTAATCCTGGGAGCAGTAATTTTACTTTCCAGAAGTTTTTATCTCCGTGTTGTTTATCGAGCTCGACCTCTATTTCATTTGGCAGTGTTGTTACCCTTTCTGGTATGTACAGGAAGGAGGCAGGCCACAACGGCAAGGAACGTGGGCAAGACCAGTGAGAATTGGAGTGTGCTGATCACCAGCACACTCCTCCAGCAATCGACCACAGTGGGAGTATCACCCCAATAGAAAGATGCAAGGATGACATTCACGCATTCCAACAAACGCAGAACTGAAATGAATGACCCCCTTATTAACAGTTTGTAGAAACTACTGAACAACCGGCGAAGTCCGAGGTGCGCAAGGCGCCTAAATGGGTCTGAATTAATATGCAGTTGATATGGGATAAAGACAACCAAATGACCACGCTATGAAGCTGGCCTTCCTCCAGATTTGACTACTTACGTAAGTTTTGTTCTCCTTGCGTCATAAGACGGATATATCATTTAGGTTCTATCTGTTAAGACAAAATCTGTTGCTGACGAAACATCCCACGCAGTTGAGTATAACCCAGATGCCAGAGTAAATCTTCTTGTCAACAACCGATTTGCTCCGTCGACGGATGTTGGCTCTGCGATAAAACCTTCGGGCTGCCGAGAAGCTTTCCTGATACGATACCGAAATGAATCTGTTCACGCCTGGTAGAAACCGCCTAAGATTTGGGGAGATCAAAAAACCTTGCCAGCTAATGAGCATTAGGTCGTCCTGTGACTGATAAAGCGGCTCATCTCGTCGCTGTCATGTTATATTTTCAACCGTCGAAACACTCCAAATATTCGTGCGTTGTCGTGTCTACGGGGACGCATTATTGAAATAACC